CCGCGGAATTCCCCCCCCCCCTCCCCCCCCCGTACAACGAGTAAGAGTGCACAGGATCTTGCAATAAGTACGAAGACGAAAACAACGTCGATTCGCGTGTGCACAACGCGACTTTTGGATTTGGTTTCGTTGAACGATATCGAACACCGCGTTGAACAGGGTTCGATCAGATAGTTTCCACACAGAGAGAGGGACGACGACCCTAGAACCTGTTTGCTGGGGCCACAGCAATACAACACGCTACGAACGGTAATCACGAACACCATTAATGCCTGTTTTTTCAATGAAACCATGCCAAAATTGTAGAACGCCAGCAGTGCCTTGACTGGGGAAAGGAGCGGTACTCCTTCTCGAAAGGGATAGACTATGTGGTCAAATTTAGGCCGTCCATGCGGAAAGTTGTATGCCAAGCAAGCAAACGCGTCTTCACGCGTTCACCACGACCCCCCTTTTTTCTCGGCCGCTGCGGTTCCCAGCACGTTCGGCTCCGGCCCAATTTCGCGGCAATGCCGAGTCCCGCTTACTTCTATAACAGCTGTCGCTTCGCAGTACCTTCCACATCTACAATACGTTGTCTGCCGTCTCGCCTTTCTCTACAACGGATCTACGATCCGGCATTGGCGGCACATTCTAACTCCTGGAGGGTGCCTTCATCTTTGTTGTGAGAAGGAAAACAGGATCCTCATCCCCCTCGTCAGAAACTACGCGAAACCTTATGTGCTCACCAACTGCTGTTGGTATAAGGACAACGGGAAAGCGATAGGATGCCAATCCTGTGAAACATCTGGGGACACTAACAACTGGAGGATGAAATGGGACAGAAGGCGCGTAGATAATACGGCATAACGACTTGAAGTCCAGGTGATTCTACATAAATCACGTGGAAGTTGGGAGTGGGCTGGACGAAAACGCTGCTTCAAAATCGGCATGAAACAGACTTGCGGGAAAAATGGGAACGTACCCAAAAATGAGAATTGGCGTTTTTCTTCAGAACCATCGGGTGTATCACAGAACCAAAATTATCCTGCGAAACCCCTTCGCCCCAGCTGTGAGATGAGCTCATCAGAACCGCCATGCTCCACATCACGCCTTCTCACGGGCGCAAAAAGCGATTCGTGCTGGTTTCGACCTGATTTCTCGCGATGCTGGCTACCTCGGCGATGCCGAGGACATACAGCTTGAGCAACAGCTCATTCGAAAGCTGCTGTAAAGACCTACAGCACTGTCAACTTTTTTGGGGGGAGTTGCAAAGGCGTGGTTTGCTTTCTAAAAACAAAGGCCCATTCTCATTTTTGGATAAGTTCCCATTTTTCCCTTCGTGGCTCCTTCGGGTGCCCTAGACAATCGTGACCTCGCCACGATCGTCTCTCCTTCTCCTTAATATCGAAAGAGTGGATGCACCCACCCATCTTTCCCCTCCTGCCCGGATAACGGAGGTTCATCAGGGCACTGTGGAAACCCTACCGTCTCCTCAAGGGATGATGCGACAGCGAAAGCACAAGCACACAGAGAAACGACCTACACAGGCAAGCAAGAGAGGAAACGATCAATACAGCTTCTTTCCCTACCCCCCCGTCATCACCTTATCTTCTCCAGCATGGCGCGCAGCTCCTGAACCCTGGCCGCCTTCGCCTGCAGGTCGTTCTTCTTCTTGAGGATCAGCCAGAACGACATTATACTCTGCTGGTGGAGGCGTTTTGCTCTCGACAGGGGCTGCACCTCTCCCGCCCCGGGGGGACCACCACCCGCAGACCCCGTCGATGCATCACCCGCGGCACCCCCCCCCTGGCCGGACTCCCCCTCTTCGTCTTCTCCTGCTCCTGGAGGACGACTACGCGTCATGTACTCTGGCAGCCGAGTGCAGCGGGAGAAGCGACAGAACGGCGGGAGGCGAGGAGTAGAACGGCGGTTGGGGAAGGGGTCGAGCGCTTGCTTCTTAACTTGGTCGTCGGCAGTGCAGTGCTTTCGAGGCGAGGCGGGGGGGGTTAGACTGGTGGGCAACACGTTGGCAGCGCGAGGGAGGGAAAGGTTTTGGGTTTCCAGGTGTTTTGAAAAGCGTTCCGGCTTCCTGCTGAGCTTTCTCGCATCCGCATGGCTTCTTCTGAGACAGCAACATTGAGTAGTCAACAATAACGACAGTGGTAACACCGACGCCACTCACCACCACCGAGACACCCAAACCCTCCTTACCACCGACGGCAACAACGACAACAACGACAGCGACACCGCTACCAATACCGACACCGCCACCACCACCAGCACGAGAACAGATGACCAATCCCTTCTATTCGCCCCCCGTCACCTAGTTTGGCGTTGCTTTCTTGAGTGGCCTCCTTCGCCGCGGCTAGGCTCTCCGTCATGCCCTGAAACTCCTCCCGAAACGATTCCAGGTCCTTGACGACTTCCTGCTTCAGGACCTCGATCTCTCGCCGAGTCTTCTCCTTGTCGTCGACCATCTTTTTCGTTTTGGTTTTCATCAAGCGTTCACCATTCGTTTGGTGGCATGAACGGGAGGTGTGTGCAGCAGGTGTCAATTCATGAGAAACAATGTCTAGAGATTTTTTGGTGATGCCCGTGGCGTGCTGTTTAGAATGATTTCGTTCGTGCTAATGTAGTAAGCTATTGGTGTGGTGCCAAAGTGTCACGGGAAACCGCTGTGTTAGAAGTGGAAAGTGCTGCCGTCGTTGATTTCTCTTGGCCGCCCTCCATGTTGCAGACGCCATAAAGTGGTGCGTTGCATCATAGCTGAAAAATAAACAAAAGCTTTCCTGCTCTTCACTTCAGTGGTGGCATCGGAACCGAGCGATGTGGCATCGAAAATACCTGTTGCGTTGCCCTTGTGGTGCTCGCGCAGATCGCCCTCGCTCGCTCCAGCTCAGCCACCAGCCGCTTCTGGGCCTTGGCCTCAGCCATTTTTTCTCTCCTCAGGCTGTTGACGCACTCCTTACGGCGAGCGTTGGCCGCGTCCAACATGCTAGCCTTCATCAGTGTCTGCGACAAAAATTGGAAATGGTGGGTGAGCACAGGTGCAAGGGACTGGCGGCCAAGAAGGAAAACTGAAACTTGGAGCTTCGCTCCAATGTTTGACCGAATGGAAGCGAGAGCTCTTTCTTCCCCCCCTGTTGAGCTGGAGAAGAGCTCTAGCGCACGAAGCAGCTTGGACTGCGTGGAATATGGCACCGCGGGCACCAACCTGCTGGAGGCGGTTCTCGACCCTTTGAATCTCTCGCTCCGTCGTGGAAACGCCGCCCCTAACGGTCTGCGCGTTGTCGGGCCCGGCGGTCTTCCGCTTATCCTCCTACACGAGGATTCGTGTTTGAGCGACCGGAAAACGGCAAGAACACGGCAGCCCGATATTATTCTCCTGTAGCTCATTCTCTGTCTGTCTGTCTGTCTGTCTGTCTGTCTGTCTGTCTGTCTGTCTGTCCCTCTCTACAGTGCAAGTAGTTCATACGCGCACACGCGCGCTTGGTTTTGGTCATCGTGGCGCAAGCCCGCCTCCCATCTTGTCCCGAGGCTTCGTCAACAACAACAGCTGGATTCTTGGTAATTGTACGTGAGTATTAGCACAGTTATAAAAAAAATTAGGGTTGGGAGTTTTGCGGACCTCCCCGTGGAAGCCTTGTACGTATCCGACGCTCTAAATATGGGACGGCGACAAAGCTGACGAAAATTATGGTGCACTCCGCAGGTGTTGAACTTCTCAAGGAATTCCCGATCATTCCCTTTTGAACATGAGCAATTGGTGAGCTGCATGCCGGGTTGATGACGGAAGAAAACCATTGGACATAATTATGCATACATGTTTCACGACACGGCCCCAGTTTACCAGGAGAAACGCTCCCTTACACTTACGACGTCCAAAGGATAAGCCAACGCGGGTCGAGAAAAGTACGATGGACAGGCTACACGGGTCACATCTTCATCTCATTCCGAAACTAAGAAAGAACCGAGGAAGAACTCACGAGCTCCTTCTCCGCCTTGGCTATTCGAAACGTCAGGTCTTCAATGCGGCTCCGTTGGAACTGAATCTTGTTCGTGTACAGAATCTGCCGATCGTACACGTAGTTGACATCGTCAGCCAGCCGCTTGCTCTGCACCGAGATCACGCTCTTCCCCGACAGCAACCCTCCTCCCGTGAGGAAAGCCGCCGCTCCGCCGCCGCCGCCACCGCCGCCTCCGCCGCCTCCTCCATTCCCCATCGGAAGGTTGATGCCTCTAACGCTTCCACCGCCTTGGGTGGGAGCTGGCGCTTGCTGCGACCCCGCTGGAAGTTTTTTTCAGCAAACGATGCAAGAGAAATGCACAAAAACAGAATTGATGAGATATTTCGCATCGGCTTGTCCTTCAGGTTTAAAGTCCAACGTTTTATTGCGCTTTGGCGTGGCAGGCAGCGCGATGGCGGTGTTGCCGAAGGAAAGACGGGGCCGGCTTCTGTAAAGATCGGGTGGCTACTTTGTGACTGTTTGTAATTCGAAAGATATTTCTGTACTGCTATAGTCCAGACTCCGACACGAGCAAAGCTTTACATGTTTCTTCTGCTTCAATAATCTCAAACGTTCCCACTCATTCCCCGTGCTCTGACGCGCACCTCAACACCCAATGAAGCAGTGTCTTGACGATGACAGTAGTCACCGCGCCACTGTAAAGTACACATACCGGCACCCCGCTGCACGCAGCAATATGGAAACGTAGTCAGTAGACCCTTGTGCCGACGCCGGTTACTTCAGAAGGTACCCGACTACTCATCACGATCTCTGGGAAGGGGCTAACTTCGATGACTGGTCCCGCTTGGACCACCTAGTGCTTGCAAAAATTGTCGTGCGGAGTAAATCGTAGTTTCACAGTGTATCGTGTGTGTTGGGGTCTTGCTTTGAGCGGAAGGCCGTGTTGGGGGCCTGATGTCATATCGCGCTGTATCATTTCCTGGTGTTACTGGGTGAACCGGTGCAAGACGGCAACCACGCCGTTGCCGACCTGAATCCATCTGCCCGTACATGTAAGTTACCAAAGAATTCAATGTTGAGAAACACGCCGTGGGACAGGCCAACGTGTCGACACACCTGGACATGATTCTTTTTTGAATTATTGGAGAATTGCCAGGTTGTATGCATACGTTATTTCTGTAGTAAGCCCAACGACCAGGAGGAGACTATTCGTTCGAGATTTACCCAACGACGACCAGTAAGTGAGCACAACAACAAGGCGGAGACTATTCGTTCTAAATTGCCCAACGACGACCACAACAAGCGCTTCCTTCACCGAGTTCTGCGTTCGTTCATTTTGGAGGTACACGTACGAATGCACGATTCGACCTGATGTGTCGAAGTCATATCGACAGCAGTGTTTTGTTGCCGCCAGCGCCCTGTTTGCATGGCTACTGCTGTGTTCAACGCGCGTTAAAAATCATAAATAAGTCCCATTTTGGGCGTAAGGTCACGTGCTAAGTACCACGACTTCCTGCAGACTTCTTGAGCTGCTAGTCTAAGCAGTAGTCTAGACTGTTGTCTTGACCTGTTTTTTAAATGCCGCGGATTCTGCTTCTAGGGATTCCACTACCGTTTACATGGCACGGTCCTAGTGCACGCATAGAAACGAGGAAGTGTCATTAGCAATGGCATCGAGCAACTTTCCAGGGAGTAGCCTGGTCTAGACTGCTTACCACGTGCACTCGTACATCGATGACCCAACCACGTCGTGCCCTCGACCACATTCCATTTCAAAGGCGACGCGCACCTTCAACCCCTGGAATCTTGTTGCTGGAAGCATCGACAACACCGGAAGTCTGGAAATTGTCCTGCATCTGTGACATCGTCCACCCATTCAAGTGTCTTAGTTCGTCCTCGCTCTCCTCTTAGCTTCCTTCGTGCTGGCGAGAACCTTCCACCAACGACGGAAACAAGGAAAAACCAAAGGAGGACCGTCCAATATTACGGCATCATCCCGTGTGTACCGTTCTTCCAAGGGGCGATGATCCTGCCACGATGCTTCTACTAGGCCACCATGTAATCACGGTGCCTGCATCCTGCAAACCGGGCTTTTCTGAATCGCCCGAGCAACCTCTTCCACCACCACCGCGTAAATATGTAGGCAGGTAAGTACTCATCAATCGGTATTGTTGATGAGCCTCTCGGAACTCGGAACAGTTGCAGGAAACGGCACATGAAACGGCACATCTAGCCCCTGATCGAACTGCGGACTGCGGGTGCCCTTCGACGCCTCCCACAGGGAGATGGCATGGCAAGCTGGCTGCTTGCTGCTTGCTGCTGTCTCTATCACTCTCATCAGCTAAAAGCGCACCGGGAAGGGGGAAAAATAAAGTTGCTTGGGTTATCTGAAGAAAAAACTATGCGGTCCGGACTTCTATCGCTGACCCTCCTGGGGACGGCGGCGAGAGGATGCTTTCTCCGTGGAGCTTCTCCTACTCACGCTGGTGATGTTACCGACTCCGTCCGAGACCTGATCCTCGCAGACAAGGACGCTTCGATCTCGCGCTCGGTGCGGGAGAGGCGAATCCACGGAAAGAGGATGCTGGTCACGGCGTGCACCGGCGAGCCCAACTTCGACCAGTGCCAAAGCGACGGCGGCTCGGCCCTGAAGCTGGAGAAGTGCCTCCGATTCCGGCAGGGAGTTATCTCCAAGGACTGCTCTGATGGGTTGCAAAGCTGGTGAGATGACCTGAATGAAACACCGACTGCTTGTTGCCCGAAAATTCAACTACTAGAGTAAACGAAACATCCCGCGCCCTTCCGCCTCTGCGTATGGTCGGGGGGGGAGGGCTTGGCACGGGTGGGGAGTAGGCCTACATACGCCTTTTACCCGAGGCTCTTTTCGCTCTCTTTTCATTGTCTTTGTTTTCGGGAGGCGGCGACTTCAACAACCATCACGTGGGTTTTCAGTGACGCTTTTTTCTGGAAATCATGACGAGCTACTTACCGCTGTCTGTGGCTCGCCCTTCCCATGCGTTGGCTACGCATTAGCAGCAAGCTTGGTTTCTCTCTATGCACTCCCTCTCCCACGGCCTTCTCCTAGCATCTCGTGCGGAGTATTGTGGTAAACGGACTATAAATTACGACGACAGCCCCAGCCCCCACGGGGTATTTCTCCTGTGTTGTTGTTGTTGTTGTTGTTTCTCACATTAGCTCTATAGTCCACAAAAAATGGGGAGCCCGTGGTCTCAAAACCCGGCACATACGACGCCGCGAGAAAACAAAAAACAAAAATAGGATACAAACCACTCGGAAAAAGAAAACAAAATGATCGAAAGAAAGAAAAGAACAGGTATCGCACCTACTGTTCGAGAAAAGAGCCCTCGGACACCGATCAAAATAAAACAAAACAAAAATAACAAAAAAAATAAAAAAAGGAGGACGCTTCCCACACCCGCCGAAAGAAAAAATGAAAGGGTAACGTAACGTACCAGCACCAGGCACTGCGCACCAGGGCATGGGAGTAACGGAGCAAACAGGGCAAAGAGGCGGCAGATGGGCAGACAGCCAGCCGTACAAAAAAACAAAGGCAACAGCAAAGCGAGATCAAGGTACCCAACACAGCAGAGCAGGCAGGGAGGTCATGAAAAAAAAAAAGAAACACAGCACAGAGGCCGAAGGCAATACAAGGACATACATAAAGGAGTATAGCATACGGCAGGGAGGGAAACCGGGCGCAACAACATCAGCCGGGTGCATAGTTCGCCACAAGCGTTGCCTCGGCCGCCCTACTCGCTTCTACAGCAGTGCCCGTTCGCCGTTTCTTCCCCCCCACCGCCGCTTCGCCGGTTCTCTTTCTCTTCGGTCCTGAGATGGTCGTACTCTCTGCTTCTGCTTCCCGCGCGTGTGACGACAGAGGACAGCGAGACAGGGTACAGAAAGTTCTTGGTCTTTTGACGAAAGCGAACCGGTTTCACTTCGTTTCGAATGCACCCAAAGCTCTTGCTGGCTCAGTGACTTGCTCTCTCCCAGCGTACATATCGGATGGAGAGCACGAAGCCAGAGTTGATGAATTGATCTCATATTTTATGGTCTGCTGGCACCTAGGTAAATGTGCTCAGCTGTACTTCGTGTTTTTTTTTTTTTCGCTTGTTGACTCCGGTGCTCGACTCTTTCTGCGCGCCGTTTGGCACCTTTCTTTGACCCCGCTGTATTCATGTACACCCGTCTATCGCCGCGTGTGACATCCTGACCTGGCGGATGCTCGCACAGCCCTTGAGGCAACAGCATCCACCCATGCATAGTAGTGAATAGTCGGCCTGCTTCCTCTGGAACAACCGTGACTGGCAGGAGTAGTGCGGCAACTTGGCCGGCCGTTCGAAAAGTTCGCATGCATTCACCACCAGCTCCACAGACTACGGTACAGGTCTAGCAACGCGTGCGTTGTTGGCACGTCTGCTGTATGTACCACGCACGTATGGCCTACCATTGCGGCTTGGCTTGAACTGCGGCGGCGGCCGGGCTTTGCAGACAGGTTTTTCGCCACGGCACGCCCAAGCGTGTCTGGCCGACCATGTGTTGTATAATTTTTTTTCCACGAATTTTCCTTTTTTTCCAATTAGATGCGAACGCGGACACACAGGTGTTTGTTGTTGTTGTTGCTCAATAGTCCAAAAAAAATGGGGAGCCCGTGGTCTCGAAACCCGGCACATACGACGCCGCGGGGAAACAAAACAAACATAGGGTACGAACCACTCGGAACAAGAAAACAAAATGATCGAAAGAAAAGAACAGGTATCGCACCGACCGTTCGAGAAAAGAGATCAAAATACAACAAAAGCAAAAAAAAAAGGAGGACGCTTCCCATACCCGCCCAAAGAAAAAATCAAAGGGTAACGTACCAGCACCAGGCACTACGCACCAGGGCATGGGAGTAACGGAGCAAACAGGACAA